ATGTAATAGACAATAGACAAGCGACAGAAAACTTATGACTCATCCCATCATCTAGAAATTGGGAGGATGATAAATATAAATAGCTGTAATATGATAAAGACTATTAGGGTAGACAAATATAAAAGTAGCAAGAGTGTTAAGACAGCAATTAATTCTACCTGTAAAGAAAAGTATTAATGGAAGGCAGTTGCTGAGCCTTCTTTTGAGGGATAAATAGGCATTCAGTGGGTGAGCAGGAATGCAAAGGATGTTTTGAACAGAAGCAATAATGTGGACCAACTCACCAAGACATGTACAGCAGCATAAGGTGTATTGTCCCTAGGGATTAGAGTCCTAGGGATTAGGAAGATTAGCCTTGTTCATTTTGGGTTGAAAATTTTGTTAGGACAGCTAATGTAAATCATTGACAATGTAGATAGATATTCTTCAGACAAAAACTCCTCTGCTTCCATTCTTCACCAATGCTCTCGATTCCTTTCTATATTCCCTCCTATGTTTTCAAAACTCTACTTTAAAATCTTGACTTATTCCATTCCTTTATTTCTGTTGTTTCTAAGTGACATTAAATGACTTCAATCTAGATTGCAAGGTTCTTTGATAGGTTGGATTTTTTCCTCCAAAAATACAGTAGACAGGTGGTTTCATGGAGCAATTTTAGGACCTTGAGAAGGATTTATTCAGGACAACCCTCTCCCCTACCAAGTGCCGTCTTCTGTGAATCTGTTCCACCCTAGAGAGCTTCTGCTTTGCAGTCTCAAGTCAGACTCTGGGATCTGGCTCTAGGTGTTCAGAATATCCCAAGGACCCCATAAGAAGCATGCAGAGGCAGGACAGACATCTGGCCATGATTAATCCTCTCAACACCCTGGCCTAATGCAGACAGGACTTGGGCCCCCGCCAGCTACCCCTGAGAAAACCAGCCCCTCCCACCTGCTTGTCTCAAGTTTATAGACTACAACTCTTTGCCTGTCTTTCTTACTTTCCCCTCTTTGTTTATCAGAACTTTCAAGTAAATAAGACCTCATAAAAATTTGCCCCAAAGAGGTGGATTAATTCAGTCAGTCATCATGGCAGAGGTGGTTTCCAGGTACTGTTGATGCAGCAGAGGCTGAACTGTGTGTGAGGTTTCTGGGGCCCCTGGAAATCAAGAATGGGCATCAGTGTGCACATGAAATGAGTGATAGTATTCACATACCTCTTTATTTACTTAAGAATAATGATAAAAAAGAAAACCATATGGAGCTACTTTTTTCTTATTTAAAATGATGCTAAATCAGAATAGACATGTGCAATTTTGTGGGACAGTTGATGAGCATGAGTGAGTAATGGATTCTTCATTGAATCAGCTTCACAACTTCATTTAGATCAAGACTAGACATGGGTGTTTATGTGTATGTGTGTAGGTGGTTGGTGGGCTGATCCCACCCCACACACTCCTTCTTCCTTTCCCCTGCCACCCCCCACAATAACATCCTGTCACCCCTATTCCCTGTCATCTGACTCTGGCTTTCACGTAGGGTTCTCTTCCAGGAGCTATCTGTGGTATATTGATTTCTGTGGCTTTGGAAGTTTTGTGCTTGGAGATTTATCCCTTTAGGGACTAGTTACTGCGGAGAAGACAGCATGGCTAATGACTAGGGAATGCTGAGAAGTCAGGGCTCTGGCTATTCTGATCTAGCTCTGACCTTAACTAGCTGAGTCAATCCTAATCTATCTGCCTTCTCTTAAAAGGAGTTCAGTAAGTGCTTTCTCGTCCTCTTTGGACATCACATTATTTAGCTGTAAATGGAAGAGGTTGGAGAAGATGACCTCAATGGACCCTTCTAGATCTAAATTTTGTGATTATATTCTAAATGTTAGGACAACATGGTGCTTACTGGCATCAACACTAATGAAATTGCCCTTCATTTATCTTACAACGGGAAGTACACACCAGTGCAGCAGACCAGCCACGCCTGAAAATGGGAGTATATGGATTTTTATCATATGCACAGCTCTCTAGTGATGCTTGTGATGAATGTGACTGTCTCTAGGGAAAAAAAAAAAAAAAAAAAAAAAAAACAACCTCTCAGCTACTGTAGGATGGCCTGACCTGCAAACTGACACAGTTCTGCATGCTTGAGACTTGGAATGTAGTTAAAATGGAAAATTTGTGCTTACTACCTGTTGGTATGGAATTATTTTACTCCACAAAATGATCTTACATGACCTCTTGTCTAACTTCACTCTGACCTTGCTGAAAACATTCATAGTTTACCAGGTGGGATCTCAATCAGATTTTCTTCCATCCATTCCTTTTTTTTCCTTCTTCCTGCCATAGAGAGCAAGATGTTCTTCCAAGACTAAGCCTGTCCAAACCCAACTCGAGACCTCATCTTCTGTAAAACAGAGCAACAACAATCTTCAACAGCTCTGCTTCCCCCTCCTTTTTAAAAATCACACACCCATCTTTAGTCATCCTAAAAAGATTTCTAGTAACTGCCCCAGCTGCCTTCTCAAGATTCAGTTTCATGTACTCCTGCCACTGAAAGTCAAAACAGAGCAGAATAACTTCTCATTTCACTAAGGTTGCTTTTGTTTTACCCCATTTCATGCAGCCTTATTCTTTATGTGTTTCACTTCAAATTAGATAGCAGTAATAAAGAGCTTTCCTTCATAGTCTGCCTTTGCTGTAGACCTCATTTCTAGACTTGCTCCAAACAGCCAAGTGAAATGGTTAAGTAGAAGGTGAACAAGAGGAAGGAGGGGCTGGTACACACCGAGGCAGTCCACCCAGATGGTCTGTGTCTCCGACGTTACATCCTCCCCAGTTTTTCCCTTGGCCTTACCACCTCAACTTCTTCCTCAGGCGTGGTGTTCTCCTTGGGGTGCTCTCCAGCGGGCAGCATGTGCAGTGTGTCTCCACAAGGACCTGAGCTCTCCAGAAGAGCTTTCAACACGCTCTCTCTCCCCTCAGCCAGCAGAGGAACTTCCTCTGACCATCTGCTACTACATTAGACAAAGTTTATCAACTTTTCCACAGGATTTCTCTCCCAGAGCTGTGGGCTTCATTTCCATTGTTCATTGTGTGTCTGTTTTTCTCATTTCTTAGGAACATTTTTCTTTTGCATTTCATTCTTTCACTTTAATATGGATCCCACCCAGATACTTCTGACCACAAAACCTGATCAGTACTTTCCTTCCCCTCTTTTAATGCTATGTAATCATAGTCTAGAGACAAATAACAAAAATTCTTTCCTTTCCCTTCACTAGGAATTATTTGGAATTATTTGTGTATAGATTTATGGACTTAGTGCTATTGAAGCACCATCGTTCCACATCCTTTCAGGTTATCGAGAGCATTTGATTTCCCCCATCATATATAGTCACCACAGCACTCCCACCATCTAAGCAACTGAATAGTTCTTCACTAGTGCGGGAGCCTGAGGACAGGAACATGGAGCTCTAGTGGAGACTGGAAAACCAAGATTCATGAAGCTCAGACTTCATCAGTTGGTCTCTCACTTGATTTTGTGACTTGGACCTGTTCTAGCACTTGCTTGCCCCAATTTCCTCTTTCTGTGAAGTGTTAATTAAAATATTAATCTACTTAACTTGAGTTTGTGACAGTTAAAGCCACTAGAGACAGTTGATAGAAAACTTCTCTGACAAGGTAGATTGTTCTACAAACCTTCTGTTATTGTTAAGTTTATTAGCTTCAGCAGGGTAATATTGTAACTCAGATAAGAGCTTATGCTTATCTGTGCTCCTAACAACTCTCCCCCCTACACGCTTCCCCCCAGTGTAAAACAGGCATAAGGCACATTCCACGTCTGACTATAGATATTGTGAGCACTTTCTTTCCAGGCTACCTGTTGTGGAGATACACTGGTTCGCCCAAGTTCTTTTTATTTTTAAATATGTATTTATTTATGCATACAGAACTGGGGTACAGGGTAGAGTTGCAGGGGCAGTGAGAGGATTCACTAGAGACAGAGTGGGGAGCAGAACAGGCAAATTGATGAAGTACACTGCTGAGGAGAGCAACAGGCAAGACAGGAGAGGTCTGCTGCACCATGTGGATCACCTCTGGGGCAGGGATCGAACTCACACTGAAACAGCTGACTAGCTTTCAGTGCTGCAGTTTAACCCATGTGCCATCAGGGAGGTCCTAGTTCCCATAAATTCTTCTGTAGTGAAAGTCATCCCTGTTTGTGGCTAATGCTATAGCACTCTAGTTTGTGAGAAACTTCTAGCTAAAGAAGACCAGTACCTAGAAGTGATTTAGTCTACTGCCTGGCTACACTCTGAAGTCACTGCTCTTTGAGTTTTGGAGTTCACCTTTCTGAAAATCCTGGATAAAAATATTCATCAGCCAGTTTCCCTGCAAAAAATAAAACCAAAAAAACCTTGACATTCCCCTTTATCGAAGACATCAGCGCAGGCCAGTCCTTCACTATATACCTCTGTGTTCTTTTGCAGACTAGCGGATTAGCAACTTTTGGTTGTGTTAGAGAAAATTACATGAGAATTCTTTTTGAGCATTATCTAAAGAGCTAGCAGTGATTTTAGGAGACACACTGCTTCTGTCAAGCATGGACATTTAAGCATAATGTCTCTCTGTGCCTGTAAATGCAAACCCTCCCTGCAAGGGATATGACCACTTTTTGTTTACAAACCTCCTTTGCTTCAGTCAGCAGCATGATCTAACACAACAGGAGGAAATGGCAGCATCTCGGTAAATTGACAAGCTTGCCAAAGATTTAGGGAAGGGGCATTAGACAAATGTCTGCATTGTTACAACTGAGGCCTCCACGGTTCCTAAAAAATACATTCACACAATTTCTTACTGTTAGTATTTGTGACTATTTGATAAGCTCCAGAGCCCTTTTCTGCCATAGAAAGTAAATCATTCCTAATAGCTGAATTTTTTTTTCACTTTAAACTTGAACTTTTCCTGAAACAGCTATGTGTCATCACCATGCTTTTCTCTGAAGAATACTGTTCTCTCCTTGCCCTAGGATGGTCGTCTACGGATAAATGACCAGCTGATCGCAGTGAATGGTGAATCTCTTTTGGGAAAGTCCAACCATGAAGCTATGGAAACGCTGAGGCGATCGATGTCTATGGAAGGAAACATACGAGGGATGATCCAGCTGGTGATCCTGAGGAGGCCAGAGAGGCCAGTGGAGGTGATGCCAACTTTTATTACCTATAGCAGATTGCCCAGATGGCCATTGGCACAGGCAAACATCCATCACTAGAGTGGGACTCATCTTGATTCTGAAATATACCCAGAAGGACTCTGGTGGATGGGTGTGGCAGGCAGGTGTGCGTGTGTGTTTTAGGTGTGTTTTAGGCTTAAGTAGGTGTTGAAATGTCATGTCCATAAGTAACTTACTAGATGTATCAAGTTCACATAAGTCTAAATTTCCTCCACAAATTCCTAGAGCCCTGAACTTTATGAGTAAGAGTTTATTCACATAATAAAGCCTTAAAGCATATAGCATCTATATATAGGTTTTGGTTGATGTGCTAGAAATGTCTATAACTTCGAAAGTTCTTAACCAGAAGGCTGTAATATTTGATGTATTAACTCTTCATATTTTCCCGCATAACCTGCAGTAGCTCATATAGACATAGGACTTGGCAAACTTTTAAGCAAGTCACTTGTCTCATATTATTAAATTTTTTATTTAATAGTTATTTTTAAATATTTGTAATGATTTGGGTTTTTTTCTAACATAAGGAATAGTTTTACTTATAAGTGATGTGTAACATAAAATATTCTTGAGTGCTAATATCTTTAAATATTTCATTTAAAACACCATTATATTTATAAAAATTTAAAATATCGCTAAACATCATTTTTCTTACATATGAATAATAATCATTAAATACTCCAAAAATTACTTTAAGAAAAGATAAAAAGATTTAAAAAATCAGTAAATCACACATATTTTATAAGGACAGATAATTTTTGTGTGATGCACTAATGTACAAGCATAAAAATGAATAAAATATATGAATATAAAGTCATAAATTCAACTTAAAAATCAAAAAAGAAAGGATTTGCATAATAGACAAGAGTAGAATGTAGTTGGGACACGGGCTGGTTCATAACTTTGACTCTCTAATTTTGGATTATATAAGTTGGCCATTTTCTGGCTTGGTAAACTTGTATAGAGGTGAGTAATGATTACTTGCTGATGATAGATAACAGTTCTCTGCTTTCTTCCTTAATGTATCTTCATTTCCTAGCACATAACAGACACAATAAAAAGGTTCTATCCGAAACCTACTTTATCTGAGATGGTGAGGAGTGGTAGTAAACTTACATACTTTCTGTTATTTTTATTATGTTATTAGCTATGGAAAGGAGTAAAGGTACCTTTTTACTCGTCTGTACATAACCTTGTAAATGTTAAACAAATGTAAATTGGCCAATTACCGAACACTATATGTAATGAGCCAACTTGTTTTTAACATTTGTGTCTGCCTAAGTGACAGAGAGGCATCTATGAATATTTAAAAGGTTTTACTTATGTACACAGTTATAAAACCTTTATCTGTTGCTTCCTATTGTAAGAGAATTGGCTCCTTTCTGGTTTAATTTAGTCCTTATGCAAGAGCCCTTGAATTTCATGGAAACTTGATTTTGGAGAATGGTGTGACAGGAGCCTGAGTCACTGGTATATTAGAACTCCTTTGGGATTTGGGAACAAAGGTGCCTCAACTAACTGAAAAGCCTGGAAGACTGTACTCCAGAATTCCATCACTGTGAGGATTATGAAACAAAGAAATGAGGGAGGATGAGGAAGGCTAGAGGGAGGGAAGATAAGTTGTTAAAAGAGTTACCCAACCACTCATTTTCCTAGTTTCAAGACATTCTGTGAACTAAGAGAATACATAGTGGACAGGTGTTCTTTATTTTGACTCATTGAATCGAGACATTTTATTATTTGTATTCTACTTTATTGTTTTTTTTTTTTTAATATTCACACTGAAATAGGTTGACAACTATTCCAATAGAAGAAACTGCTGAATTTTCCAGTTCTTTGCCTATCCTCAGAAGTGTCTTATTAATATAGTTCACTAGGCAATCAATTGGGAATAAGAAATGGGACAGAAAACAGTTTTCTGAGGACATTTAAACAAGATCTGTGTTTAACTTCCCCAATATTTGCATGCTTTCCATGGGGATGAGCAGGAACTTGCCTCTCTGCTATTGAGAATCTCTATGGTGCTCGTGAAGATGAAAGACCACTTTTTTTTTTGTTTCTTATAAAGATAGTGGCCTAAGGTACTGCTAATCTTTATTAAATTGGAAAAAATATGCAGCTATTTGATCTTCCAAATCTGTATTTTACTGTGTCAAAGCATATGTTTTGCCCTCATATTTTTGGTATATTCTCCTGAGGAACAGCAGTCCCCCTTAGGTACAATAAAAAGGCATCTGTAACCTAGAAAAAGATCTCAGTGCTACTCATATATTCAGGCAAATCAATTAGTTAGATTTGGCAAGAATACCAAAATGGTTACTTGAACATTATATTGATATAAAAAATTGAAAAAGCTACTTAAGAAAAGTCAAAATATATAGTTGTTGGAGTATTTTCCCACATTACCCAGATGTACAAGATACGTAAACAGTTTTGATGAGGACCTGGTGAAGAATACATAATGAGTCCTTGATTGAATCAAAATCATTTTAAGCAGAAACATGTTTTTCAAAGGATGAGCTTGAGGTTCAATTGTAATTCTATTTAAGCCCAGAGACTTGGTATTAAAAAATGGGTTATGACCTGATTTTTTTTTTTTTTTGCCTTCCCCAAAACATTTTCCTCCCTGCTGCAAGCTCATCTTGGTGGAAGCAGAATATGTTTAAAAATCCATTATATTTTTTATTGGCTGGGACACTAATGGAGGCTCCATGACAGCTCTATTTTACAGGCTGAATACTTTAATTAGGCTGGTTACTGATCACTTGTTGTGATATCGATTGTGTCATTTATCAAAGAGCCCAGAAAGCAGAACTTTTTTTCCTTGTTTTTAAACCAAAGAACAAGGCAATGTAAGGGAAGTTCTTCCACTGCTATCTTCAGAGGCCCCAGTTTTAAATGAGGAGTTCTTTGCCTCAGTATTAGGCTTGGTCTGATGAGCAATGGGGAGCACCGGGTGGGGAAAAAGTGTCGCATGTGTTGACAAAAAGGGACAGGAGCTGTTTCCAGCAGCTGAAAACATTTTAATTATGAAGAATGCAAAATTGAATGTTTTAACATTTTGTTTCACGAACAGGATACTGAGAGCTTGTAGCCAAAGAGGAAAGCATAAAACAAATGCTTTTCTCAGAAAGAGCGAGCTCTGGGGAGCAGATCTGCATTTCTGTTTGTGGCATGTTGGCATGTTTCTCTCACAAATGGTCCAGGGCACAGCCATGAAATGGCTTGCAGTTGATGGCTTGCAGTTGATGCCTTCTGACCAGTCAGAAGGCAAATAATATGAGCAAGAGCAAACCCCCTCGCAGCTCTGTTTCCACCCTCTGGAATAAGTCGCCCGAGACCCTTTCATCGGCCCCTCCTCCACCTCTTCAGCACCTGTGGCGCATGCTTGTGGCGGTGTGACTCCGGATGCTGCAGTTTTTAAAAACTGTGAATTTGTTTACAGACTGTCAGAATCAAGTAGGAGGGGGAGAGCCATGGGGTGGGGAAGAAGGAAAATCTCAGGAGAACCACTGTCTGGCATTGTCACAGCAGTTTGTTTTAGCTCCTGGCCAAAAGACCCGGTGTCTGTGGTGGGACAGACTCATGGCATTTCAGTGGCAACCTGCTTGGGCTCTGCCTTGTCCTAGAGCATATGCACTCAGTCGCCGAGGGGGAGAGAGAGGAACCAGCTGGTTGGCAGAGAAACACCCTTGGCATGAACTGTATTCTTGTGTTGACACTGCCACAAGCTGTACTCCCAGATGGAAGGAAATTTGAAGAAGCCAGTTGTAAGTGGGGGAGAAGAATAATAAAGTTAATCCTTTTTGCACTGGCTATCAGCACTCCTAATCCTTAGTACCACATTGTCAGTATTTTTTATTTCATATTCAAAGATGCTTTCACTGATAGGGCCATTTTGATTTTCTACAATGAAGGGCTTATGTGCAACAGACTCTTGAAAGATTATTCCTAAATCAGTCATCAGGGTTAGGATGCAGCTAGCTACAGCTACTTCAGTGCGAGTTGGATCCCTGGCCCTAGAGGTGATCCCCATGGTGCAGCAGACCTCTCCTGTCTCGCCCGCTGCTCCCCTCAGTAGTGTACTTTGTCGATCTGCCTGTTCTGCTCCCTGTAGGTCTCTGGTGAAGCCTCTCACTGCCTCTGCACCTCTGCCCTGTACCCCGTTCTGTATGCACAAATAGATAAATCTTAAAAAAAAAAAGAAATGCAATTTTTATTTCCATCCCTTAGGAGCCTGCAGAGTGTGGGACCCTCTCAAAGGCCTGCCTTGAGAACTGTCAAAACGCGGTAACCACCCCCAGGAGAAACCAGAACAGGGTGTCGCCTCCATTTGGCACTTACAGTCCACATGACAAACAGAAAGGTAAGAGTTCTCGATTATCATCCACTGCAAATGATGTGAGAAAACACAGTACTTTTATTTATTTATTTATTTTTTTAAGAAACAAACTGGAGTTAATTAGACTGAGTGCAGGTTTTGTTACTCTGAGTCATGAACACAAGGAGGGGAGCTGACTCAGAAGTTGTGAAGTATTCCTGGCACTGCCACCAGTGTGAGCGACAGCTCTGTGCTTGCCTCCGCTGCTGCCCCAAACACGGAGGGTTATGTATAAAACAAACCATGTCTGCAGACGCAAAATGGCAAACTGTTATTTTTGTTTTTGATAATCTTTTGATATTGGAAGTTACCAAGTCAAAATCACTACCAAATAAAAAAAATGTATGGACTAGCTTTGAACTATAAAATTGTCTTTACACAATTCATGGATTTATGCTTGATTCTAAGATGAGTGTGGTAAATTCCGTGGCCCCAGATCATTATGTGACAGATGGAGTGTTCTTGTTATTGCTTTGCTACACTGTCTCTCCCTTATTATCTGGTACTGATAACATTTCTAGTGAAGTCCTAGGTGTTAAAAAAAATAAAAGAGGGTTTTCTTGTTTTTTCACAAATTATAGTTCAAGTCACTGAGAAAATTCTCTTATTTCCCTACAATCACCTTTCTTAAAATTCTCATTTTATCTGTTGAAAAGCAATGCATCATCATTATAGAAAATTTAGAGAAAAGCAAAAAAACAGAAGCTATAGTTCTACTCATAGCTCTATCAGCTCTACTGGTCAATAACATTTGTGTGTGTGTGTGTGTGCATAAACACACACATATCTTCGTATTTATTTCAAGTTGGGCCTTCTTGCAAATAAAATGAAAATGAAATGTGCTAAATATAATGTCTATGAAGTTGCTGTCATTAATAACACATCATGAACATCCTACTTTGTCACTGCATATTCCACAGCACATGTTTGCAGTTGTATCATAATCTGTTGGATGAAGGTAGTGTATATTAATTATGGATTCAATCTCTTATTTTATGATAACTTACGATGTTATCAAAATTTATTTGAGAACAGTTTCTAAAATCTGAGATTCATCAGTCAGAGCAGACTTGTGAATCTATAACTCTCCTCTCCTAGATTTAGATTATTTTTTCCAGAATGTGCTGTCTTTCCTTTAAATCCCTCTGCTTTAGTGAGTAGTAGCAACAGCTTGGCCAATTATTAAATGTTTACTGTCTGTTAGATATTGTGGTAAGACATTCATGTGTACACTCCAAGTGAATATTGTTATTATCCTCATTTTGCAGATAAAGAAATAGAAAATAAATAATTCACCGAGATCATATACTTGATACACGAAAGCTGGGATTCAGCTCTTGTCTCTCTGACTCAGTTTCATTCTCAGAACCAGCATATGTCCTGTCTTACACTGTCCCCTTGAAACTATGGAAATCCTTTTACCTGATACTAAGAATGTTCTTCAGAATCTGACTTGACTTTGCATCCAGATAAAGAAATACTCAGCATGTCTTTTTCCTCTTCTTAAAAAAAATTAAGTGTTTCTTGACAGAATAGTAGTAGCTCCTGGGATCTAAAATCACAGTAGCAAGGGAGTCTGGGCCAGAGGAGCAAGTATTCCACAAAATAGAACAGGCTTTCAGCCTTTTCTCTACCATGCCCACCTAATGATTGAGAACACTGACATCTGTATTAAAATAACTATGCTTTATACTATTTGATTGGTATTTAATTCTCCAGAAATGTGGTCCAGGGACATTCTAGTTCAGGGTTTTATTTCTAATGACATCAGTGACACCAGGAGGACATTGGGCATGTTACTTCCTATCTTGTTTAATTTTCAATTCCTATAAAATATTAATGTTGAAGTGATCATTACACAGTATACTTTTAGGGAACATTGTGATAATCAAGGAAATGACTCCATTTTTCTAAAAATGTCTCTAGTGTGTCTCTAGAAAGGATAACAAATGCTAACATAGTGAAACTATAAAACTAGTTAAAGTATAAAGCTATACTCAGAAAAATAAAAAATGTTTAAGTAATAAATTCCTCTCAATATGTTAAAACCTTAGAGCATGAATAGACCGTTCAGACTTTGTGTTTACACTGAACATTAAGACTCCGATGGGCACAGGTAACCACAGAGAGCCACTGAGAGGTGATGTCTCTTCCTTCTGAGACGTAGGGCCAAGTAGAACAGCTGCTACACTAATGAAATCCATGTGGACTAACACAGGTCTTGTTATACCCACTCCTCCCACCTGGATTTTCCAGGTAGCATAAGAACCCAGTTCTTTCAAGAACCCCACTAAATATTAGTTTTAAAAGCAGAGAAATTCTATTAGTATGTCCTGTGGAATTGAGATATACTACCTACTTTTAAGAATTATGCCTATTTAAAGCAGAAACATTAAAATTTAATAGTGAGAGGCTGGTAGATGGAATTCTTTTACTTTTTACAAAAGCCTATTGACTTAGAGCCAATATATGGAACAGAAATTATAAACGTGATGCTGTAGATGAATATCATCACCATTGTTTCCATGTAATCACTGCCATGTAATATTAATGCCATTTTAAATGTGGGAACCATTGAGAGCTCTGAGTTTTAAATGTATGTCAAGTGGCAGACTCATGAACTCCCAGTGAGTGTTGGCTTACAGTACTGACTTTTTAAGGATCTCCTCTAGAAACAAGATTGACTTCACAAAATAATGTCTAGTGAAGAAAGGAGCAGTTGTAGTCAAAACATTAACTTTTTTCCTTCCCTTTTTCCATTTCTTTGTATACTTAAAAATCCAGTGTTGATGTGCTGTGTTCCATCTATTTTTGTAATAATAGTACGTACCACCCACAGTTCCTTGGTTATTTTTTATAGAGATACATATTCCTGTCAAGCTGTTACACAGAAAAGGCATTTTTAGAACTAATATTTGTAGAAATTGTAACACCAGAAAATTCACATTTGTGTTGGAGAATTGCTAGCAATGCCCGCAGTGGAATAAGTATAGTGCTCTAAGATGGTAATAGGGATGGAGGTTGTATCCCAGGGGGTTACTATAAAATCCTATTAAGCATCTGAATGGTAATGAAGTGCACCAACACTGTATTTTCTGAAGAATCTGCTGGCAGATCTCACCCCAGGCCAAGTAATAGCCTAAGCATAGAGCGCCTCTGGCTTGTTATTACTGTGCCTTTCATTGCGTTCAACCCAGCATCCAGTACCCTACGCCTGCTCCCCACCTCTCAGTCCCCAGGTCTGCCAAGGATCACCCACTGAGGCCCCCCTATGTCTTCCCTTCCTACCCCAAATCAGACACTCTGGTTCTGTCTTGTCCAGCTGGGTGCATGTTCCCTGGGGTCCTTTGAGAAGACACGTGACAGTATAATTATTCTTTATGCAGCCCTGCCTGGAGCCAGCCGGGGAGTCACCCCTCTGAGCACTGCCTCTGGAGCAGTGATGGGAAATCGAATGACACTTTTCAATTTGCCTGCCATTTATTGGCTACCTCCATTGTAGAGAGTACAGTCAGGGATGCAAGGTTGGACACAGTGTTGTTATCGCCCTCCAGTATAATCTAAAGCAGAGGTCAGCACACTTTGTTAAGTGCCAGATAATAAGTATTTTATGGTTTGGGGCTTAGGATCTCTGTTGTAACTCTTTGGCTCTGCCACTGTAATGCAGAAGCAGCTATGGACAGTTCATAAATGAAGGGGTATGACTGTTCAGTGAAACTTTACGAAAAAACCAAGTAGCAGCTCGTATGCGATCAATGCAATAGTTTGCTGAACTCTTGTCTAAAGCCACATCTCTTTTACTCTTCTTTTCCTATTTGACTTTGGCAGGATTGATCCTTTAAAACAAGTACCACAATGAGACATGGTAATTTTAAAAAGGACTATTTGGCCATAAATTAAATAGTGACTAAGGGTGTACTTTCAAAGTTTACAAACATATGTAATGACCATCAGACTTCCCTGGTGTACTCAAATGAAATCCACAATTTGGGGTATGGGGGGCAGACAAGAATTCTAGATAATCTCAATCATGTAAGTCTTTACAAAGTATTTGAACCAAGACAGGGATAAACTTTCTTCATAGAACCTAAATCTATTGTTTAAAAATACAACTAGGATAAAAAGTGCACAAAGAAGATTTTTACCTCTATAGCTGTCACTACTTTTAATGCACATAGATTTAAAACATGTAGATGAAATGAAACTCAAAGTTAATGACTTTAACAAAAGAAAGTATCTAGAGAAGATGCTGAAGAAGAGGGAGGAGAGGAGGACAGGAAGTTCAGATCAGTCAGTAAGAGAAAAAAGTAAGCAAGCAGTGGACAGATCAGTAGATTGCCTTGTGCAGATGATGCTCATTGCAGAATGATGACTGTTGTACAGGACTTGCTGTTCATAATATTAATTTAATAGACGAACACAAAAATGGCAGTGGATGAAAGTCAGTGATCTTGTCTTCCTTGTTCATACCAATGATATTTGGCAGCAGCAGGAGTAGCTAGACCCCCTGCAGTGATGAGGGAGGTGGGCTTCTCCATTGGGAGCTGAGCCTTCTAGAGGCTTCACTACCTGTACCTTTGACTGGCAGATTGGAGAAGCGGGGAGGCGGGGGTGGGGGTGCACTGTTTCTTTTTTTTTTTTTTAAGATTTATTTATTTATTCATATAGAACTGGGGTACAGGCCAGAGATGCGGAGGGGATTCACCAGAGTCAGAGCGCGGGGTACAGAACAGTCAGAAGTACACTGCTGAGGGGAGCAGCGGGCGGGTCAGGAGAGGTCTGCCTCGCCATGTGGATCTCCTCCAGGGCAAGCGGGGATCGAACTCATGCAGAAGTGGCTTAAGCTTCTTTGTGCTGTGCTTTAACTGCTGAGCCACCAGGGAGGGCCCTGGTGCACTGTTTCTTAACCTCTGAGACTGGGAATGGTGTTGCCATCACAATTCACATCCTACTGCGAGACCTAGACTAGGTGGAAGAGCCTACCTAGCCTGGGGTCTGACTGTGTGCCCAGGAAGGAAGGAAGGACACATGGAGTGAAAAGGGCTTTTCTCTGCCACTGTCCCAAATGGACTGACAGGTCACAGAGCAACAGTGAAGGTTTTATAGAGAAGGTGGCATTGAAGGTGAGAACTTCTCAGGTGGACCAAGAAGTTGCCAGTTCAATAATTTGAGCCAGCAGAAAAGGTGCCCCCTTATGTTCCTTGTCTCCAGTTATGCTGTGGTCTTGTGTTTCTCTGCGGAAGTCTCAGGCTGCCTGACAGCTGCCTGAAATGTCTACATCATTTGGGGTGGAAGGGAGCAGGCAGTGCAGGGGGACCATGCCCATCATGCCATTGCCTGTCATGCTTCCACCCCTGGTACCTACTTGTCGGATCGCCTGCTTCAAGCCTCTCTCCTGAGAACCCATGAGCACTGTTAGACCCTCTTCCATTCTACAAGAGTCCTGGGGACAGACCTTGGCAGAAATCCTTGCCCTGGTCTTCAGAGAAACAGAACCAAAGTGAGTTAGCTCACAGGACTCTGGAGAGAGGTGGGTCCCCAAAAATATAGGGTGAGTCAGCAAATGGCAGCCAGGAGTCCCAGAAGTGTGGTTTCAGTCTGAAGGCAGCACCTCCCAACCAATCAGTGTTTTTATTTTAAGTGTGAGGGCAGGAAAAAGCCATCTCCTTGTTTGAAGACAGGCAGGCAGGAAGAGTTCCATACAACTTTGACAAGGGTCAGACTTTGAATTTTTTTAGACCTACTACTAATTGGGTGGGGCACACCCACATTAGGGAGCATAATCTGCTTCACTCAGCCTCTGGTTTAAGCAAACACTCATCCAAAAACAGCCTCCCAGAAATACCCAGAAACATGTGTGACCAAATATCTAGACATCTGTGGTCCAGTTAAGTTGGTGCATAAAATTAACCATTGCACTTGGTGGAGAGGGAAATCAAAGCAGGCCGTCACCAGCAGCAGTTGTCCGGGCCAGAGAGCCTTCTGTTCCAGAAATCAAGGACAAATTGGATCTGCCTCTTACCAAAACGCTCAGCATAGAAATACAGAGAAGATATATGATTTATAGAATATTAATCCTGGAATTCGTTAGCACTTTGCATTTATGAGTCACTGCTTAATTATGCACCAACTCCTGTAATCCTCATACTCCTCCAATGAAGGTATTTTTTATCCCCACTTTCTATATTTAAAGAACTGAGGATTATACACATTAAATAATTTGCCCAAGTTCCACAGCAATAGAAACCATGATTGAAAACCTGGAGGTCTTCCACACACCCGTATCTTAACCCGGATGCTCTGTGATGCTTCTCATACTTTATTAATTATGAGCATTAATTGACAGGATGCACATAATTCTTAATACAGTTTGTGTCTCAATAACCCTAACTTGTTAGGTGTAGTATTATTCAAGACACTTATTTGCCCAATAAGGAATAAACTGACAGCACACCTATTCGTAGGTGAGAAATGTAGGGGTCAGATCTTAGTCTTTTGCTTCAAATGCCTCAAACCTAGATGTTTCCATAGCAGCAATACAAAAAAGAATACCTCTCCTCCTATTATATCTCCATGAGAGTGATGAACTTGATCTCATGGGTTTTTTTAAAGTACCTTTTGTCACTGAGGCCAAACTTTTAAAGCACCGCATAGTCCAGAGCATTTATTAGAGTCTTGTTTACAAAGACATGTTAGGCATAAAAGAAATGACTTCACTACTCTTCCACAAGCATATGTCAGCCTTCTCTAGGTAGTCAGAGGTAGTCAGAATGTAGGGGTTAGGCTTGCAAAGGCTGCCTATTGGTAACTAGTGTGAAAACCTTTCAGTCAGTTTAGATTTCCTCACAGAGACTACATCAACTCCCACGCGAATCATCCTGTTCCATATGAGGACAAATTTATTTCAAGGTTGGTTTATGTGTCAGTGAAAGCTGTGTGTGAGAGAGGGACAGAAATAAAGCCAGGCACTGGAAGGTTCTGTTTACTGCATGTTCATTATTCTTTGTTTATAGAGCCATTGCTGCCCAATGACGGATGGGCCGAGAGCGAATTACCACCTTCACCAGTTCCACATCCAGTCCTGGAATTGGGCCTTGAAGATTGCAGCCACAGGTATGGATTAAGTGATAGATTGTAAATGTGGCCCATGATGGTTTTCCTGGGAAAACTCAGTAACCTATTTTAATTCTGTTTCAGTCCACAATGGAAACCTCAGTGTATCTATAATTCCTATGCAGTCAAAGCTTCTCATGGTTAATGGCTTCAATTACTCATATTTTACTTCATGGAATTTGTGAAGTTTCACAGTAGATTAAACTATTTAAGAAAATTGTTGAATTTTTTCTACCAAGTTTAAACCTAGAGAGCAGTTGAATTCAAAGAAAAGTTATATGGGAAAATAACAAATCAACACAGAAGACATGAAGCCTAAGGTTTTTTTAATTTGTAATTGGCAAGCCCTAAAGGTATTTTAAAAATAGATGTTCCAAGAAAGTTAATGAAATATAAAAATTAAAGAACACCATATATAATCTAAAATATTGAAAAGTGTGCCCAATATTATATCCATTCTATAATAGAAACCAAAAAAAATCAATAATTTTTAGAATCACACAAGCATGAGAGAGAGATTTACTAAGCATACGCACCATTTGGCTACTAGAATTCATAGATTTTATTCTTCTGATGAGTTCTAAAAATCATTAAATTGCCCCTTTGCTATTTTCTGTATTTATTATGGCTGTTAAAAACTGTGTATTTTATTCCATTCTGTGTCCCTTGATAATCCTGTAAAATTTTTTCATTTATCTTTCAGCAATGCTGGTATCATTCCTATTAGGCCTTTTATCACAATCTGCTAAAAATAAAGCAATACAAGATTATAGCTAACTCTATTAGTTTACCTACATTTAGCTCTTTCTGATTTCTATATTTTTTAAGTCAGCTGTCTTACTCAAATATAATTTTAAAAATGAAACTGATAATCACAGTTGTGTTCTAGATCAGTATCTCTGGAGATTTCTTGAAAAAAAATGTAGCTATACTTAATTTTGTTCCTTTATTTGCATTTCCTGCATCAATCCTTAATCAGAAATGATAGTTTGGTGTCTTAAAGGAATCCGCTTTTAAAATATGTTTCAGATTCACTTTACAGTTTATCCTTTATAATTTATAAAACTGTTGGGAGGGTGCAGAGATGAATCAGATATACATCCTACCCTCAGGAACACAATAGACCAGGAAGTGACAACTAGACCCCAAGATACAAAGTGACTTTTACTAGAAGGCAGAGATAAAAGTGTTCTAGACCTCTGAGGTGGAGCTTGCTTCCAGATAGATAGAGAAGGTCGTGAAAGTGACATTTGCACTGAATAGGAGGCAGACATGAGGTGTCCCAAGTAGGAAGGGAACTTTAGAGAGTGGGGAGAGAAGGGAGAGCATGGATGTTGGAAAGAAAACTGCACCGTGTGTACTGTAAAAGCCTTAGTGCAAGAATAAGGACAGCAGCTATCATTCAGTAGATCATAAAATCCTATTGTAGAGATTTCAGCTGACAGCAGCATGCTAAATCCCATGCCTCGGTGACTATAGTGTGAATTAGGTAAATGGGGGAGGGAGAGGAGGGTAATATCTTCTAGATGACAGAGACACTTTGGATGCCTTCTGGGGCAATTTCAGTGAAAGTAACTGAGGACCTGTGCTGGAAAGGACAGGAACAAACTTTTAGGTGAGACATTTTCAGGTGAAAGAGGATATTCAGAAACCCTGCAGAGATAGATTACTGGGAATTAACATCTGCCTTTTTGGCTACTACAGTGTCCTGCCAGATTTTTCTATCTTTCCTTTTTAGTAAAGTATATTACTCTGTGATCTTGATAAAAGTCAGCATTGTGCAAATTTTCATTACACTCTATCAGTCAGTAATGTCCATTTCCTTTTACCCCTTTCTCCCCAAACCCAGTGTTTAAGCTTCTGTTGTCATTAACTTACTTGAACTGCTCCCTTTAGACACCAATAGTGAACTCCTAGTACCTAAAAAGTAAGACCTTTTCTCAGACGTTAGACTTCTCTGCTCTGTAGGATTTTATCATTACATCCCTCATTTGCTTCCTCGTCCACTCAAAAGTATTTATGGTGCAGTGATCTAGACTCTGTAGAAGATATTGAAATGGAATGGAAGCATTCCTGTTCTCAAGGAAAGCACTGTCTCCTTGAAGAAACAGAAGCACAGATAATCAGGAAGCAGCTGTCTAGTCATTAGATACCAAACACTGCTGGAACCCAGAAAAATGAGACTTTGAAACTGTCTGGGGTGTGAGGTTTACCAGTGAGAAGGGATTTGAAAAATCTCTTGGAAGACAGAAAGGAACCTGCCTGAAAGAGAAGTGTTGGGAAGGGCAATTCAGGTTAGGAAAACCAAGCTACGGGAGAGAAGAGATGCATGGTGTGTTCAGTAAGTCAGGAGCAGATGGTTTCCTGGGGAGGAATCAACAGGCCACTCCAGGCCTCTCTGGAGAACAGGGAATGCACTGAAGGGTTTCAAGCCGGGTGATGATGGTATCAGGTTCAGAAAATTAGTTTGGAGTATGGAGTGGATAAGGGAAGTAATAGACCAGGATACCAGTCTGAGAGCTGGCAGGCAGAGAAGAGTTGGCGTGAAGTTGCAGCATGACCAGAGGAGCAGAGTCAAAGTCTTGTTTGAGATAGAAAGAACAAATCTGTTGCTTTGAATCTCTCCCTCCTGGGATCCTCTGACCTGCACAATCCTGCAAGCTGCTGTGTTGCCTAGGTGACCAGCCGCAGCTGGGCTTGGGTGTGTAAAACTTGGGGTGGAGGAAGGAATGGAAGGGAGCCAGCAGGATTAAGCAAAGGAGACTGCCTTTCAAAAGAAAAAAAAAAAAAAAAACACTAAAAGGGAAAAGTGGTGCTTTAGGGATGGATCCAGTCTTATGAAACAGAAAACTATTATTGCATAAGGAACAAAAAATTGATCGGCCTTGATCTTGGGGGGGGGGGAATGCTATTACTAAAATATTTGCATTATCTTAGAGATTATTAGAGAAAGTTTAAAATATGTATATAAATAATAATGTGATATACCAAGAAGAATTTAAACAAAGGCAGTCAGAATATATTCAATTTTATTTGCAGCCTAGACAAAATTTGTTATTCCCGACTGGTTCATATCTTCCTGCTTGATCCTCTCTGTTCTTTGTTTCTCTTTGTCTTTTTCTCCTCCGCCCCCATCTTTCTTTCATCTACCTAACCTGCATCTACTCTCATTCATAGGAACCAGTTGTTGGAAATCATTCACGGACACCTGAGGCATCAGACATAATTTTTTTTTGGCATGCCCCTCAAAATCTTCTTCTCCTGTCTTTTTATTTCAGACAGTTCTCCTTGAAATTTCATTGCTGGCTCTTCTATGTCTTTCCCATTCCTGATTTGTCACCATACTCAGGACACTGGCATATGTCTCATGCTATCCTTATTTATTCATTATGCAGCATAATTTGACATTGAGTATCATTTCTATTTGATAGATTCCCTGGTTGTTCATGCTGAAAACATGGCCTTTATCTGAGACATGTCTTTGGCCTGCTGTCAACTTGCAGCTTCCCAAAGCATCCACCACAGCCCACTCAGCCATGAGCACATGCTAAGTCTCTTCAAAATTAAAATATGTCGTATTTTATCGTTAATCATCGTGTCAGTCACTCACTCCAAAAACTTTCAATAGGTATTATAAAATTATAGACTATTTTACTAGTATAACTACGTGTCTGAAATGTATTCACATTAACTAATTCACTACTGCTAATTCTCTCATTATTTAAGTGCACTATATGGTCAAATGGGCCCAAATCCTGTCATGTCTCATATTATACTTAATCCCCTCAATATTTAACCAACCTGATATCTTGCCTTAGTTTTGTCTAGTACTATGGCAAGTTAAGTTCTTCCATGAAAAGGGTCAAAGTGTAAACCTGATCATATTCAAAATAGTGGTAAGAGACATATATGTCACGGTGATCAAGTTAATTGACATTCTGAGGTATGCGTATATGTATATATTATATGCATATATGTATACATACATGAATTTGAATATTTATTAATTTCCTATGCACAAAGCATCTTTTTTTTTCTTTTATCATCCTTGGTTATATCTCATATTTATAGAAAGAAATCACTTTATTAAGACAGATTTATTTATTTAGGCAAGTATCACTGCCACTTTGTATTTTTTAGATGGAGATAATGATAATGGTTTAACAAGAGTTTAGGAAAATTTATGTTTTTACTCTTACTCTGTTCACTCATGTTTAATTTAGTAATGAAGTGGGTTAACCAATATGTCACTCATTGGGTAAGTTCCCATAGTCTGCCTGGAGCAGAACACTTTTAATGCAGTGCAATCTATGTTTTAATGAGAAATATTTATGTTGGTCCTAAACCTCCTGCATGAAGACTTTGATTATAGCATGTGGCATCTGTGTTGACTAACTCTTGGTTTTCTTTTATACCATCTATTGAAACAAAGGCTAATATATCATGCAAGCCACATGAGAGGAGGAGAGGACCTACACTAACAAAGAGAGGGTTGATTTCTGTGAATTCAGGAACAGCCAAGAGCTTGTGCCCCTGGCTGAACATCACTTTAGCCAAAGCATCTGTGGCTCTGGGCAAAGCTCAGGAAGGCACAGCTCTGGTTCTGGCTTAGCCACTGGCCAGCTGTGTGACCTGGAACTTCAGCCTCCTCTTTGAGCCACTGTCTTATCTGCAAGATGAGGATTTGCATGGGATGACCTTTAGTGCCTTCAGGCTCTTAAATGCTCTGATTCTATGAAAACCATGAGTCTTCCTGACACTAAAGCCACATCATCACAGGAGATCAAAGGATGAAAAACTAAGTGCAAATAAAGGTCAAACAGCACATTTAAAGGCTAGTGCCTCTACAACATCAAGGCTCAGGAATAAGCTCATGTTCACAGGAGCATCTCAAAATCCTTCTTTAAAATTGGCTGTAGCAATTACGCTATTGTTATTATGCCAGGCCTGTGTCAGTAGCATAAAGTCAGAGTTTTCTCTACAATGGGCATATTTTTCCACCACTAGACACCACATCTAATAGGTTTTTATTTGCACTGTGGTCATCTACTGGGGATGTATCCAGACACCAAGGGAAACCACCTCACCCAAAAGTTTCATAACTCTAGAATGTTTATCTAAATTTCTCAAGAGATTTTGGTTTCACTGGAGAGTGCCTGAGGACCTCATTCAAAGACCTCTTTAGCCTGTAGAGATAAACAAAATATTTAATAGTTTATTTTTATTGAACTCTTTCTGTGTGTTTTTCAGTATTAACATAGTTTGTTCAATTATTATGAAAATGTTATACACTCTATGGGTATCATTTTATGCACAAATAAACTAAGCCCACATACCTGGTGTCTCCCTCTCAAGCCCAATGTCCAAACCATTACACCTCTCTGTGCATCCTACTAGCAGAGAAAAGTGCTGAGGCACAGACCCTCCTGAGGGTCTGATAAAAAAACAGGGAGACAAACTGTAGAAAGCATAACTCACTCCTATACCACACCATAGTAATTTGGGGAGTAAAGACAGGCCTGTTTATTGATCTGCTTACTTTTTGCTAGATGATCCCATAGTACTTACACTATTAGTGCCAGTTACTATTCCCCTTACGTATAAGCCCTGGCTCATGCTGTCTCTTCAAACCCTGTGAGATAAGAAGTATCATTCTACCTATTCTATTTAGGTCTTTTTTGTTTTTTTTGTTTTGTTTTGTTGTTTTTAAGTTTCCTTTTAAAATTTTTTTTTAAGATTTATTTATGCATACAAGATCTGGAGTACAGGCCACAGGTGTGGAGGGTGACAGGATTCACCAGACACAGATTAGTGAGCAGGACAGGCAGATTGACTGAAATCCATTGCTGAGAAGAGCAGCGGTGAGACAGGATGTCTGCTGTGCCATGTGGGTCAGCTCCCTGGGTGGGAATCAAACTTGTGCTGCAGTGACTGTAGACACCTTCACAGTGTGCACTTTAACCCATTGTGTCACCGGTGAGGACCCTTTTTAAAATTTTTGAAAAATAGATTTATTGCCTATCTTATATCAGGGAAGTAAAGCACAGAGCAGCTGTCAGGCTCTCTACCCCTACCCCAAAGCTAGTAAGTAGCAGGACTGGTATTTAGAGCCTGACAGTCATGCTCTGTGTCTGTGCCCTGGGGCACTATACAGCCTGGCATTGTTGCTCACTTCGTCCACTGACTGTATTGTAACAATAGAGATTCACTCACTCCTTTAGCAAAAGTAGTTTCGCTGCGTATTAATTTCAATATTGCTACAAGGCAATATTTAAATGCATGACTAATGAGGTTCAGGAAAAGATTAAACTTATTTTGACATATTCGCTTAAGCAGTTGAGATCCTCATATAATTTAGGATTCTCATTCATAATAATCTTTTTGTTATTTTATTGTTGAAAGTGTCAAATCCCAGTTTAAAAAATGCAATCTCAGTTCTTTATGTACCTAGGATACTTGATTTGAGTTCTCCTGTATTTAAGGTTAGGGTCATTATGTTGAAATGAACAAACATATTTACTTTCTAAACACAGGAGATTACCAAGGGAAAAAGTAGCTGTAATTTAATACTTTAAATATTGAATATAATTTATTTCTAGATCAAGAAAGAAGGTATAGTCTGTAATTCTGTTTATAATCCCCTCCATCCACAAACAAAATAAATAAAATATTCAACAGAAATAGAATTCTTTGAGATTGACTGCAATATTATAGCCTATAATGGGCATTTGATGTATTTGGTGTCTAAATTGTCAACTGTGTTTTTCCTGTTATTTCCTTTTGGTATTATTGATGAACAAACGATCTGCTCAGCATTAATATTAGTTTTAGAAAATAGACTGAAGTGAGGTAGAAAACCAAGCTGCTTCAGCCCTAGGTCACTCAGCAGGATACTCTTCCTAAAGAGTCGGACCTTGGGCCCTCCCTGGTGGCGCAGCGGGTGAAAGCACAGCACTGAGAAGCTAAAGCCGCTTCCTCATGAGTTCGATCCCAGCCTGCCCCGGGGGTGACCACATGGTGCAGCAGACCTCTCCTGACCCGCCCGCTGCTCCCCTCAGCAGTGTACTTCCTCGATCTGTCTGTTCTACACCCCACTCTGTCTCTGGTGAATCCTCTCACCCTCCGCATCTCTGGCCTGTACCCCAGTTCTGTACGAATAAATAAATAAATCTTTAAAAGAAAAAAAAAAAAAAAAGAGTCGGACCTTGCCCTTCTTTTTCAAGGAAGTTGATGCTGTGCACCAGGGATCTTTTCGCCTACTCTGAGCCTCTTCTGATACGTGGGGGCATCCTTTGAAGTCCTGGTGCTTTCCAGACTCAACTTCCCCACTTAAAGTCACATATGGTACAGCAGGAGCCTAACTAGCACAACTCAGGAAAGAAAGAAACATAGTACTAGTTTGAGAACATTTTATTTGAATTGTAGAGTGGATAAAATGCATGAAAACAAAGTTGCTGCCTCTCATAAAAGACTTTTGAGATTCAAGAGTTGATCAAAAATGTGTAGTTAGGACCTGCAGAAGAGAGAAATGGGTGCTGTGTTAAAAAGGAGAACACCTTGGGCCCTCCCTGGTGGCACAGCGGATTAAAGCACAGCACTGCTAAACTGGCAGTGGCAGCGTGGGTGCGAGTTCAGTCCCCATCGCAGAGGTGACCACGTGGCATGGTCTCACCCTCTGTTCCCCTTAGTAGTGCACCTTGCAGATCTGCCTGTTCACTCCGACTATAGTGACCCTCTCACCACACCTGAATCTCTGGCCTATATCCCAGTTCTGCATGCATAAATACATAAAAGATCTTTAAAAAAAAATAGAACACCTTTCTTTACAAAAAATCATTATCCTAAGCCTAAATATAATATAAATAATATGACTTTTTTTTTTTTTTCAGCCCTGGGATGGATTCAGCAGTATATTTTCCAGATCAGCACATCAACTTCAGATGTGTAACACCAGCCAGGCAGCCTGAACAGATGAGTCTGAAAGCCTCAAAGAGCATGGACCTTGGTAAGTGAGGGTGAGGTGACATCCAGGTCAGCTGTTCAGCCTCACCGCATCTATCTTCTTCAATGTCCTGCCATTGTTCCTTCAACTCCCACCTTAAGGGGCAAGGTCTCCTGAACCTGGAGGAGGGGATAACTGTCAGTCCATCTTACACATTTCCTCCAACTGTGTGCTCTTACACATTTAATCGTAATTACCTCCTTTTCAAGGAGAGATAAATGATTTATTTTTTAAATTTTATAGGTCAAGAAAATATGATTATTCCTTCTCGAGTATTCCAATGCCATCACTCATGGACCTTTGTACCTGTGCTCTCACTTCTGCCAGTGTGTTTGCACTTCTTCTGTACAGACCCATTGAGGGCCTAAGAGATAATGTGGGTAAATAAATCCTCTTCCATGGGGCTGCCCATCTCTGTGTGCAGTGGGTGAGATAGAGCAGTACCAAAGATCCATATCTTTAAATGCCCAGCTCCCTAGAAAGAAGAAGGATCTCTGGATTTGCCAGATTGAGAGTGCAAAGGACCCTAGGTCCATGCCTGAACAATCTTACTGAGTTTATGGACACCACAGGAAATTTCTGGATTAGCTGCAGGGAGTCCCTGCAAACTGTGTTCTTTACCTCCTGAATGCAAGACCCCTGAAAACATGTCAGATACTCAAGAAAATTGCTGCTCTTCCATGGACTCTTGGGAGAACAAAAAAGTATTTGGAAACAGTGTGGCTAAAAGAACAAAATGTTCTTTGCTTCCTTACAGCTAAGATGCTTAAAAAGCAAGCTTTGCTAATGTTTTTTTTTTTTTCCTGAGACATATATTTCATTAGTAGTAACAAGAAAATAGAATAATCAAAACTGTGTGTTCTACAAAACAATCTGATAAATAGTATTTATCTGTTATTCATTTACAGGAGTTAAGAAAAATGTTCAGTCATAACAAACCAAGAGAAATTGAATCTCTCTTCTATAAATTAACTAGATAGCTGGGGTACCTTTATGCTAATCATTAGCAGTAAAAGATGGATAGAGAGCTCCACCAGGATGCTGTGTTGAACACTGGTCAGAAAGGGTATTTTCTCAAGCAAAAACCTTTGACAAGTAAAGAAATAAAACGTGTAGTGATTTAAGTTAGCACTAATAATTTAAGGAGCAATTTATTTTTATACTGTGCTTTAATAAACAACCTCTGTTTTATCTTCCCAATCTTTTATGAAGAAGACAAATAGAAATTTCTCTCAATTTGGGGGGAGAAATACATTCCTACTTTCCTCATGTCATTAAAAAAAAAGTTCTTTAAAAAACCACTGCAAAAGGAAAACAGAGTATTCATTTTCATTTAGAATGAAAGAGTATGAAACGTATAAAAAATAAAACCTAAATCATGATCAGAACCAACACTTATATTTATGTTGTTGTTACTGAAAACTATGAGCTTTCACTTTGAAATTAAAATAGCCTTTGCAAAATCTGTATGGTTGGCAGTCACCCATTGTGTTTTATTGTACTTATATATAAATGACAGCAATAATAGTAATGTTCGGTCAGTTTACATAATTGGCAGAGGTCATGAGCTATTTTCTTCAGGACACAAGTTCTGAACAAGAAAGTATTGACTCAAATGTACCATCCAGCAGAGGTGGTAAATATGGTGTAAAAACATTTTTAAAGTAAACCATCAAAGTTTGGTCCTTTCCAGCTAATGCCAATTTAAAACTAATGGTCTTGCAGAATGCTCTGAGGGTCAGCATGCTAAGACTGTTCTGATCCTCTAGCCCAAAAAAAAAAAAAAACTGAGTGAGCTCAATGTGTTGCTTTTCTCGGGGAATAAATGTATATGATATACAAACAGTAAGCATTGGAAATGTCTTTCCTGTTTGACTGCAGGAATGGAGTATTATCATTTTAGTTTTCCACATATAGCACTGGGCCAAAGTAAGAAATATGTATTTGCTAGAACAGCTGGAGACTTGTAGGAGTAAGTCAAGACCCAACTTCACAACAGTTTAAAAAAATTTTGAAGCATTTAAGTTGAACACCATATTAATGTTATTTGGCTGTTTTTTGACTTAGGAAGATAGCTGTTCATGTGATATAATAGAATGATAAAATCTATTATATTCCTCCTTTATAAAATTCATAGTAATCTTCAAAAGCTACCAGACTCCATCAGTTTCTTCTTTGTTTTTGTTTCACTTTTTTTTTACTGAATCTAAACTGCTGTTTTAAAGTTAAATTTCATGTAGAAGTTGAAGTTGATGAGTCATTGTTCATATGTTTAAGTTTTTTTAAAGCTGAGTGGGTATCATTTACTTATTTTCACTTATACTTCTAAAGATAGAAAATTTTGATTGCGCAAAAGAAAGCCTTCTCATCCTCATCTCCTTCCACCAGTCCAGGCACAAACATATTGAATATTTAAAAATAGCTGGCTTTGTATATCTTTCTAGAAAACAATCCATTTGCTTCTCCAGTTATGTATGTCTGTACTGACTGTTGTGTCTCTCTACAACAGTTGTATAGCGTTAATATGAATGGCTCTTCTTTAAGTTTACTTTTTGTTTTTTTAAAGATTTATTTATTTATGCATACAGAACTGGGTACAGGCCACAGGTGCAGGGATGGTGAGAAGACTAACTAGAGACAGAGTGGGGTGCAGAACAGGCAGATCGACGAGGTACACTGCTGAGGAGAGCAGCGGATGGGTGGGAAGAGGTCTGCGGCACCACATGGGACACCTCCCTGGCCGGGGATAGAACTCATGAAGTGGCTGTGTCTAGTGTCACAGTGCTGTGCTTTAACCTGTTGTGCCACTAGGGAGGGTCCTTGAGTTTATTTTGCCCTGTCAACTGAATTTAGATATAATTGAGAGTTTGAGATGTGTTCTTTACCTGTTTTAGAGAGTATTTCCTATTCTAGGATTGATTGGTTTATATATTACAACCTTTGTTTGAATTTGTGAATGCTTACCTTTCATCTTTAGAATATTGTTATATATATTGCAAATAGCTCCTGTAATCTACTATTGGTCTTTTTTAATTTTTGATAGTTTTCAAAGTTAGTTTCTAGCTTTAGTCGAATATTTCCATTTTTTTTTTTCTTTCCTGACTTTTGGGTTTTATTTTACCTACCTTATTCTAGTACATTCAAAGTTGTGTGGGTCCCCCCTCCACGTCTATCACTCTAAATACATTTTTACCCATGGTATGTTGGCTAGGAATTTTGTTCTCTTGGTAAATAGGCAAATTATTTAAAACTTAATGATTTATACAATCCTTCCCTCATTAACTTAATACATACTCACGTTGAGTAATAAATTCTCTTACATACATAAATTGATCTCAACATTTTCTGTGTATTAGTGTGCTCTATCCCAATATCACCTTTTTGCAATATCAGCCATCACATTTTATTCTGATAAGTCATGGAACAAATTTCCTCTGATTTTTCATCTTTGGCAAAATTTCATTGCCTCTTCATATGCATTATTGACCTACATGAACTTTAAAACAACTCATGGAAATGGATTGAAAGACTAGATATGGATGCTTCCACTGTGCGTTTTGTGAATATAGGATCCATTCATTATAACGTTTGCTGTGATTTCTGGCAGGATGTTCTCAACAAGTTAAGCAAGTTTCTATGTATTCTTAGCTTTTTAAAATTTGTTTTAAATTTGCTCATTTTATGGAATCAGGAGTACATGTTTAATTTTACTAAGTGATGTTAAGGACCTTTATAGGATGTCCATATTTATTTTATTCTTTATTCTATTAATATAGTGAGCTATATTAATAGAGTGCCTAATGTTAAGTCACTGATTCTTTCTGAATGACTGAATTTCTTGCTGCACTTTGAAAAGTGCATGTTCTATGTTCTGATACTTAGGTATAAAACTCTAGTTATAGTTGTACTCAATGTCAGTAGCTCTGAGATATCCATTACAGACTTTTTGTAAAGTCTATTCTGCCTTGCTAGTTTGGGGATACTTTTGCTGTGTGTGCATGGCCATGTTTAAGTCAGTCTAGAAGACAAAAGTGGTGAATAAAGGGCAATTTGTTTTTAAATAATTGGATGTAACTATGCTTACTCAGAGAGGTTAGGGTGTCATTTTCTGGGTTTTCCAGAAAATCAATCTTTTCCTTCTAATTGTAGACTTTCCTCTATTTATTTAAATTACCAGAATTACAATGTTCAGTCTGGATCCCTTTAATTTGTTCATAATTGAGCTTATGTGGGTGTTGAGTTGGAAGCTCTCAGGAGCTGAATAACACAGCTGCCTCTTTGGCCTTTGGCATAGGGTCTCTCCCCCAAAGAGCTGCCCTGGTTGGCAGAATGCCAGAGAGTTATATTCAAAGACTTGTTGATGAGGCATAAACATCTTTAATTTCCAGTCCTGGTGTTTTATGAACCAGTAATATCATTTAAGAATTAGTCTGAATTATTCAAAGCATGACGCTTCAATATTTTGGCTAATTCCTTGACCGAGCATCCAGCCCCATTCAAAGTTAAGTTTCAAATGACACTTCCCTTTTTTTCTCTCTTCCTTTCTTCTTTTTTTTTTTTTAGAGAGAGAAGAGTTTGCTCTTTCAGATTGGCACCCCCTCCCCTCTAGGAAAAGCTTTCTATATAACATAGTTAGGAGAAAATCGAGGGCAGAGCAGATGGAAGATGCTGGCCAGCTGTCCTGCCCCTGCTCAATGAGAGGAAATGAGCTTAAAGTGATGCATGAGACATTCAGATGCAATTTTAGGAAGTTTCCTGACAAAGAAGATTGTTAACATTCCATGTCTAGGACACTTTAAAAAGTATGTGTGTCTTGAATGATTCTGCCAAAAATGATAAATGGACTGATTTTCTTACAAGATCTGTGATTCAGCAATTTTACTTTCTGTGAGTTGCTTAGTATAAATGTATTTGAATATAAAAAATGTTTATAGATACCCACAAGTCCACAGTTGAAGTAACGTATAACTCAATTAGTTTGTCATATCAGCGATGGTAAATAG